TATTCCGCATTTCTGCACCGTGTATGAACGCGACCATCTCAGGACCTCTGTTAATCGCGATCTATCCCTTGTTTTTTTCGTCCCCTTTCCTCTTTCCTTTCATCTCTCTATCTCTCTCTCTTCTTCTTCTTACTCTCCTCCTTTCGAGTTTCGTCCAGATGATGCAGCTGAAAAATCCTTCTGAACCTTCCCAGCAACAGAATATTCAGTTGGCAGATGCCTTGTAACCAGAGGTCGTGACATCTCAGGACAAATTACATACAGACGGCTGCCCCTTGACCCTTCACTTCAATGTTCTGAGACATTTCCAGCAAAGGGAATTTGTGCAATCAAACTTGTATTAACATTGCTTGTTTACAGAATAAAATGAGTTCACAAAACCGCTTCGAGGGAAGTCTGCATGAACTACTAGTACTGATTGCTGACAAAAGCAATCAACTTCGCGACGGTACCAATGCAATGGATACCTCGTTCAGCGCTCCAGTTGATGCAGTGGTAACAGTGCTAGAAATTCTTCTTGTCTTTTCTATAAATTTCATCCTCCTCTTCAGAAAATGGTCAGTTGTTGTTGCAGTTTTTGCTCTTCTATGTTGTGTTGCATTATTGGGAATTACGTACCCGGTGTTAATTCCTGGCTTGATCTGAGGCTTCGTTTTATTACTTATGCTCAACTTACGCGTAAGTATATGCCCAGAATGAAGCTACGTTTTCCGACTTTTGGCTCCAGCTCGGATCGCATATCTATTACTCTCCTAGTTGCCGAGCGTGTATGCTCGAGACGCTGGCGCCACGGCTAATGCCGTTTGGACTCCAGAATTCCCGGCATCGAGCTTCTCATAAAAATTGCCTAAGAGTCAATTGAAACCTACGGGAAAACTTGTTTATAGGGGTAGTTTAAGGGTATGTGACAAGAGGATCGTAATTTGCCGCGCTGCTGGGCGTCGCGTGCGACGTCCCGCTCGCAAAGGACGATGCGAGATAGCGTAGAGCAGTAGATAGCGACAACATGCAATTAAGGACCGAAAACATTAATGAGTGTCTACGACGACGGGGTCTACGTCCGGTGCTTCATTCGACAGGTTTTGAAACGAGTTATGAAAACGCCGCGCCCATCGCCGCGCGTGGCGGTGCGGCGAATTACGATCCTCTTTACCGTCTCCCGTAGTTTAACATCCTAATTAAGAATATGACATTCACTCTTGTCGCTGGCGCTACGATTATCTGCGCTCTGCTAAGGCTGAGCCCAGGAGGTAATCGTAGTGTCCTCTCTTGGCGCCAGCGACAAGAGTGAATGTCATATTCGTAATCAGGATGTTAAACTACCCCTATATACAAGTTTTTAGCGGATTTGGTGACTTAGGCAATTTAAAAATGAGCTCGGTGCCGAAATTTCTGGAGTCCAAACGGCATTCAGCCCTGACGTACGCCAGCGTAGGCTGACGCGAAGTATGAGCGCAGCCTCACGTAAGTTCCTAGAGGCAATAATATACATTCATTTCGATTTCTGATTCTGATTGTATTCATCTTTGCTCAATGTACTTTCTTACAGAGTGCACAGCGAACCGTTCGTCAAGCCAGGGTGGACGTGTGCAACGTCAACATAACGCTGCTTCAACTAAAATCCTGTGTAAGTTTCTTTTCGTGCTCACTTCAGCCAATAGACCACGTTCCTACTTTGCGACTGGGGAAATTGGAGATACTGCGCGATGAGGAAAGTATAGGTTTCGATCTGGTGATTAGGGAGAACTGGAGATCCGGCGTTCTGGGCGACTAAGCGTTTCATGCGATTGCGCGCCTGCAACGGATCGCCGAATCTCAGTCGCTGGCAAGTGGCGCCAATCGATACCCGTTCACTCCCCTGGCGAGAATCGCAATCGCCTCTGACACCGAGTCTTCCAAATCGCCGGATCGCTCAATTTCCAAAAATGCGTGATCACCGAGTCTCGCAAAACGTCGGATAGCCGATTATCCTAAATTGCCAGATCGGTACCTATACCTTCTTCGTCGCGCAACCTCTCGAATCGCTGTCTCCCAAATTGCCAGTCTCCTCGGACGCGAAGTGTGAACGCGGCCCAGTGTGTCCTTCGACACTTCCAATGCGGAGCTGATCCATTAAAGTGAGGAATTTTGGTATAGACAGTTTCAGCAAAGGTGGTTTAATGCGAAAAACTGCAAGAAAAAGATTGTAAGCCAAAGGATGGGTACTCCAGCTTAAGCATAGGAGGACACGGCCATGAGGTGGACTCATTTCCACTTTTCTAAACGTTTCTAGGAGAAGGAAGTGTTCGCGATTGTTTGAATACCTAGGGTATTTCGCACCAAAATATCCCACAGTGGCGGCATAGCACCTCTAATGTAACGATCCTTTGGTTTCCTGAGGAAAGAACGAGTACATACGTTTTTGACCTTGGGCCTTTAGAGTTCTCTTCAGTGAATTTGTTAGCGGAAAGACTTTAATAACTTTGCGAGCTTTTACCCATCTCTTGTCGCAGCTGTTTTATAATGATAACTGCTGTTTAACGCCGCAGTTCGCGTTTCGACCGGCTCACCAGGTTAAACGTGTGAGTGCTGTAGGCTACGGCACAAAAGCCGTAGGGTAAAAGCGGCCCTGGTGGCGTAACGGATAGCGCACTCGCCCGGAAAGCGTGAGGTGCGGGTTCGACTCCCGCCTGGGGTACGACTTTTGCCCATAACTCAGCATTCTTATTATTTTTGCAGTTTCTTGATTTCCAGCATTATTTCTCATCCCAATGGCTCTGTTAAACGAATTATTCCAGGTGAAGGAGCTCGAGGATCGTCTAATGAACATTGGCATCAAGCTTGAACAAAATAAAATTGTAAGATTTCTCACCAAATTTCATTGCTTGTTTATCTCTTTCCATTTTACTAGCATTCACTTCATATTAAAGACAAACAGCATATTTATTTCGAGGACGGTCTTCGCACTGTAGGTGACTTTCAAATGTGAGCGGGAACGGGGCTGGAGGGTAGTGGTGCCCAAGTGCCATTTACATACCTCGGCCGCGCTAATCATGTGCAGCGCTTGCGTCGATATCAAGGTCCCGCGGTGAAGGACCCACTCAGCGTCAGGGAACAAGCAGAAGCGAGACAGTGCAGACAATTAGCGCGTTCTAGCTATGGTCAGGCGCGTGGCTGGCCGTGCGGCGGAGTGCAGAGGCGACAGCCGGGTATCATACTCAACAGCCCCGTTCCCGTGCACTTCTTACAGGAGAAAGAGGCACGCTTCTGCAGTCACGGACTAATTCTTCTCGCATTTGGCGAGGACCAAAATCCACGGAGGTGAGAGTAGATTTTGTCGTTGATAATCGCTCTCCTTCTTCATCATCATTTTCTTCTATTTATAAAATCCATTTCATTGAGAATTTATGTTGTGGAGCTGTGAAAAGCGCATGTTTTTTTTCGGCATGCTGAAGTTTGGAAGGATTCTGTTCCATGGCCCACTTTCTTCTTTATGTACGTAAGAAAATTAGGTACTACTGAAATATTCCTACCCCACTCTGCCGAAATCAGGCCGGTTTTTTACCGACTTTTGTCTACAAGAGCAGATTAGGCTGGAAATTTGCTCGTAGGGGTACTTCGATCTCCTGAAGATGAATATCACATCTGCTTGAGCGAAGACCGCCCGGCACTCTCGCCAAAACACCCTAAATCACCAAAATCGATGAAAACTTGTATACGGGGTTATTTGACATCCTGTTTACGAATATGATATTCATTCTTGGCGCCAGCGCTAACGTAGGACACTATGGTCCATCATCCTCGCTTTGCTAATACTGAGCCCCCTGGACCTCCCGCAACGGGAAGGTCGCGTACTTAGTTACCCTAGATTAAACTCGGCGAGAAGGCCTAAGGCGTCTGGTATGAAAGACAATAATGTGTTCATACTCGCGCGATCCAGGGGGTCAAAGCTAACCTATTATCGCCAAGTTTTCTGATCGATTTTGGGGAGAAAACGTTGCGCAGTGGTAGTGGCAGCATATCCGTTGCGGCCTACAATGGCCATCAGATCGGGAAAGGCACCAGCCGATCAAAACCACTGTACATGCCATGACTTCCCGTGATCCAGCGACATACGAATTTAACTTCCTATAGACAAAAGTGTTATTCTTTCTTTATTTGCTCATGGGTTCCCCAGTAGAGATACGAATTCAATCAGGTCGTCAGAAATTAGACATGGAGTTAGATCTTGAATGTCGGCATTCTGCGAATGGCTTCTTGATAAGTGGGATGGGGAAGGACTGCTATCCCGTTATATTTAAATATCCTGAAAATGGATCCTGGAAACGAGCTATCGATATTTCTTTGGAGCACTACGGACTTCCAAACGTGGTTTCTTCGGCGTGTTATTTACGCCGAAGACCGCTCAAGGGCAAGCAACGCTTGTCTGCAGGGATCCTATTTCGAGAGTTGCATTGTATACATTCGCACTTGATCACTTTCATGGTTACATGAGACTAAAACTTCTGGTAGGAGTGCTGCTGCGAAAGGCTAGAGCGCAGAGAAATAAGTACTGTGGCTGGCAGGCCTTGAGGTACAAAAAAACATGTTGCAACCCAGGAGATTAAATTTTTTTCGAAGAGAAGGGACACCGGGATTAGTGCGCCACTTATTATGCGTGAAAAGTTGGAGTGTGAAAGGTCAGAGTGGTACAAAACACCATTGCAGACGGAACGCCGCGAGAAACAGAAAGTCTGGCCGCAAATAAAAAGGACTGAGTCTTAGTTTGCCCCTGCTTAGTATCGCGCGCCTCCAGTTTAGCGTTAGAACGCGCGCTCGGAACCGTCGAGCGTTGGATCGGAAAAAATTGGTGAACGCCGAGCTCCCAGGAGAGCAAGTCGCCCGGTACTGAGAATCAGTTATCATGTGATATGCGTCATATGGCCCTCTACTGATAAGCATTCCTCTCTGGTAGCTGGGTTTTTTTTGCACTTTCTCTGTGCTGATCCCAAGCAGTTCTACCCGAGAGTGTTCCTTACCGATATTTATTGTTTCTTTCAGACCTGATCTATACCCTTCAGTGGAAACTGCTAGACCCACGGTTAATGCTGATGTAAGTTGTGAAGACTTTTTTAGTACCTGATCATGGTGCAGTACGGCTTGGTGGGGGTACAAACTGCCACTCAGCGAAGCCTGTACAGTTCACCTTGTGAAGTCCTGTCAACTCTTAATCCAGAGTGGCTCCCGTGTAGCATTTCAAGCTTCACAAAAATTTACTTGTTATGAACATGAACTAGCAAAAGTAACTAGCGATTGTGCAAAATGTCCCTCCCAAGCCGAACAGCGCCATCATTATCAGTTCATATAGACGAGCATTTAGCTGACACCAAATGTCCACTCTTCGCCTGTCATACCTGTCGGCATCAATTCATCACCATCCAGTCCTTGCGAGGTTTCGTCTTTTTTTCATATTTATCTTCACGATCTTGCTGAATTGAACATAGTCATGGATTATGAGCCCTGCCAAAGTTCAACAATTTAAGGTCTTGCTTGCTGATGATGTTCAGTTCGAAGAGGAACACAAGGTGTGCAATTTGGAATGTTTCCAACATTTTTGTAGCAGTCACACTGATACTGTCATGCTTCAATGAATTTACGCTTGTGAAGGTTTGAGCAACCGCAATGAGTACTGTGCCGTATTGTCCGAGCTAGATGGCTGCGTCACAAGGCAGACGCGTTTATGGCATGATTAGTTCAGCCACATTCGTACTTTGTGACAGTCAGGAATAGGAGTTCAGGGAATTTAGCGCCAAAGTGGGTTATAAGTGTCGATCTGGTGAGTTATGAAAATTGGAGATAGGAC